GACAGACTACTTACTGATTGTTATGTAAGGAAAATGAGAAATTGCTATAGGAAGGAATGTTTGCTAAGATCAAGCTTTTGTTGATAGCCTTACTGGAATGTCATCTGGCTTGTTTCACTGAAAGTTACCAGCCTATATTGTTAAACTATAACCCCACCTATGTGTCTTCCTGTAACTTCCTGGTCTGGAAAGTAAATACAGGAAGAGAACCCCAATTTAGCATTAATTTCCCAAGGACGGAATCCCTATTGCTTGAGGGTTCTGGTGGGAGATTAACCACTTTGGGGCTTCTCACTGCTCAGTGGAGAAGGGCTTTGAGTAATCCTTTGTATCTCCGTCACCCAGGGGAAATGGGGTGACAAATCCATTGTGGGGGCAAAGCAACACAAAGCAACAAGTCACAATGTCCTTCATTTTTAACACTAGTAATATTCCATTAAACATGTACACATAAGTGGAATTGCTGTATTATTTGGTAGTTATGAGATAGGAGATGCTCAGTTTCTATGGGTTCAGGTTTGATGACACACACCTGGGTGTCAAGCCACTCATCAAGGACTCAGGCCCCTTCTCCATGCCCTCTCCTAGAGGATTGTTACTCCTGCTTATTGCACCAATTTTTGGAACCAACATGGAGAAATTTTTACCTGAAAAGGCAGACTTGTGCTAATCTAGTGGCAGGACATGCTCAGTAGAAAGGGGTTATGTAAACCTAGGAGGTGAACATGCTCAGTACAGTGAAATCTATCCTTTAAATGACCTTCCACTAGAGATGCTAAAGAGCACAGAATATTCTTGAACATGTTCAGTGCATGTTATAGAATTGGACCAATGAACATGCCCTAGAAGGAGACTAATTGAGTGGTACGAGAAAATGCTACCTAACTGGGAACCACGCCTTAGTGAATATTCCTTAGATAGCATGAAAATGTATTAGATGGCAAAACTAAACAAGTGGAGTCCTCATAGAAGGCAGGATTGCTGCTCACTGTCCTAGAGCCAGCCCACATTAGACTGAGGTGTGTATTTTTTTCTTTTTCTATTGAACTTGCTTTTTGCAGCCCGATATCCACTCTAGAGCCAACCTGCATTTTGTGTGTGAATCTGTATTTCTTACTTTCATATTAAACTTGATGTGGGCCCAGTTCAATCACTGGAGCTATCTTCCGACTCTCTCTGTGAAATCTGTTTCTCTTATTTGTTACATTAAATTTGTTCTCACTTTCTACTGTGACTCTGCTCTTGAATTCTTTCTTGTGGTGGAATGAAGAATGTGGTAAGGGAACAGTGCAGGTTGAGGCTGGCCATCAGGCCTCCTCAGACCTTCTCCATAAGTATCAATTCTAAGTTTAATTTTTTGAGGAACCACCATACATTTGGGTAATTCTCTACATCAAGTTTATTTTTTGACAGAATAATAAGCAAAGTGATATTATATTATTATCATTTTTATTCAATACTGAATCCCAAGTCTTTCCACATTGACTGGCATACTTCATAATCCTACAAATATTGGGATAACAGGTGATTAAATAAATGATGTACTGTTTTGGAGGAAGCTTAGAGTCCAGAGACCATACTTGGAGCATTTGTCTTTCTTGTCTAGCAGGCAAAGTTGAACTGTGAGACTCGGGTATCACTAAAAATAAACACAAAGGGGCTGAATGTTGGGAAGCCTGAAGATACCAGGGAAGAGAAGTTTATCAGCCAAGGGATTGGGTTTTGAATCTGGGTTATCCAAAATGATAAAATGCCAGATAGAGCATGAAAGGATACAAACATGCTCACCAGGATCAGGATAATGCATGTGGCTCTAGTTTCATAATAAGCTCTTGGTGAGAGCCTGCTGCTGTGAATGTGTTGTACCCGCTGCTTGTGTCTGTACAGAAAAAGGACCATGAAGCTGCTAGTCCAGACCATGAGGCCCCAAAACATAGTATCAGTGAACACGTAAACTACTGCAGTTATTGAGAATATCAATCTCCCTACAAAAACTACTGCAGTTATTGAGAATATCAATCGCCCTAAAGTGGGTGAGGAACAGTATCTGTACATTTTTTCCATGCTCATGTTTTTGCTATTAGTTGGGACAGTTACTTCCCTTACAATAGCAATATTTACCACAAAATGCAAGATCCAGCAAATGAAACAACAGAAAACAATCCACTTTGGGGATATAACTTGCAGTTTCTTCCACCGATAGGTACTTAGGCAAAGTTTAGTGGCCTGAAAGCCACTGAGGAGGCAGGTCGTGCTGAGTGTAACCCCTCTGGCCACTCTGTGTAAATAGAAGACAACTTTACATCCAGCCTCACCTAGGAAAGGTTTCAATCCAAAAGCTGCCATTGTCTGTGGGATTCCTTTAGAGAGAATAACCAAGTTGTTAGCTAAGACCAGCTGGTTGAGAATCAGGTCAATGGGTCTCAAGTTCTGAGCAGTGAGAAAAGTAAAGTTATAAAAGCAAAGGAGTAAAGAATTTCCAAGTATTCCAGCACCAGTCTGAATGAAAAATGTAATACCCCAATTTAAGTTTATATACACCAATCCATCCATTTAGAGGAGATGTCAGAGTTTGATTTTATTCCAATAAGAGAAATATGAAGACTAGAAATGAAATATTGGAGTATTTTTATGGCACCTAGAATTTTTTTTCACAAAACCCATTATTCCAAGTGAACATAAACATTAAAAACAGGTCTTTTGTAAGTACAAAGCTATTTCTTGCAGAATTATTATTTGTAACACCACAATGACTAGAGTACACCCAAACTCAGTCAAAGGGAGACTGAATAAATCCTGGTGCATCCCAATAGTGAAGCACCAGACACTGGTGGTTGTGATGGGGAAGTTCTCTTGATGGCTGGTCTTTCCGGCCATGCAGTTATATGTGAAGGAGGGAAAAGAGAAAAGAAAGACTCAGAACGTAATGTGCAATTAGATTTACTTTGCTAAAAACCATAGAGATTTGGTATATTGGTATGCTTTGTTGTGCATGTGTTTTTGCTAAGAACCATAGAGATTTGGTATATTCGTGTGCTTTGTTGTGCATGTGTTCGCCTATATTTTCATACTTATAAAATGAGAGAATAAAGCAAAACCTTTAAAAGTCAGTATCAATGAGGGGCAGAGGAGTCAGAATAAACATAGGTAATCTGTGTCTTTTTGTTTTTTCAGCTTAGAAATATATGCTTATTTTCTTGAATATATATAATACCAAAAATATATTTACATTAATTCATAAACAAAAAGATGGAGCTTTTAAAGAAACATATGAACCTAACTTTATAGCAAATTAGGGCTTAACCAAGTGAAGAGGAATTATTTCCACTGAATTTTAAGCAAAATTATTTGACTATAGCTTTTATAAACAATTTATATTACATTATATCTTATAAATTTATAAATTATTATAATAAAGCTTTATAATATTAATTATTTATAGCATGGTAAATAATTTGACTGTATAGTAAAAAATATATATAATATATATTCAAATTTGCTTAATATTAATAAATACATAAATATAGTCAAAATTATTTACTTTCATCCTGAAGAAATAGGTGAAAGAACATTAGGGTAGGAAATACAGGAGATTAGCTCAGAACTTTTTATGGTTCAAGAAAACAAAGGAGCCATCAAATACCATCAGATTAATGTGAGCAAAACAAAAGAATTATCATGAAGTATTCCAAATGGTGGGAACTTATAGCATCCAATAATATTTGTAATGGATTAAAACAAATAAATATACACAAATCCTATATGTTCATACTGCTAAAAACAAAATAAAACAACCAAAAAAAAAAAAAAACACACCTGGAGTGTGGTTGAAATAAAGGGAAAAAATCGACGTCTCTCTATTCTACTTAAACTATTCTACAGGAAACTTCCTCTTCTCTGTCGTTTCCTACCTAACAGTGGCAAAGGGCAGACTGACTTAGATAGTTTGAGAGTACAAGTGACAAACATCGACGGCTGACAAAACTATGAGGTGGCAGCTGAAGAATAGAATAACAGAACTGAAAACTCAATATAGAGCTTCAACAGCAGGCTTAATCAAGCAGAAGAAAAATCAGCGAACTTGAAGACAGGTTGTTTGAAATAAACTAGTCAGAAGAGAAAAAGGAAAAAAGAATGAAAAGGAATAAAAATATCTTATTGGGTAAAGAATACACAATGGGGAAAAGAT